CAAAAAAAAAAAAAAAAAAAAGTAAAGCCGGGCTCAGTGGCTCAGCCTGTAATCCCACGCTTTGGGAGGCTGAGGTAAATGGAATGCCTGAGCCCACAGGCTCGAAACCCGCCTGGGCAATTTACTTTCTCATCTCTACAATAAATCAAAAAATTAGCCAGGTGTGGTAACACGTGCCTGTAATTCCAGCTACTTGGAAGGCTGAGGCGGAAGGATCGCCGGAGTCCAGCAGGTCGAGGCTGCAGTAGCCAGGAGCGTGCCCTGTACTCCAGTCTGGGCGACAGAGTGAAACTTCAAATCAAAAAAAAAGTAAAAATTAGCTAGGGGTGGTGGCACACACCTGTAGTTCCTACTATTTAGGAGGCTGAGGCAGAAGGACTGCTTGAGCCCAGGAGACTAAGTCCAAAGTGGGTCATGATTGCATCACTGCACTACAGCCTGGATGATAGAGATTCTACCTCTAAACAATAAAAATCCAGGTAGGGTGGCTCATGCCTGTAATCCCAGCACTTTGGGAGGCCGAGACAAGAGGATTGCCTGAGCCCAAGGGTTCAAGACCAGCCTGGGCAAATTGGTGAGACCATGTTTCTACAATAAATCAAAAAGTTAGCACCGGGTGTGGTGGCTCAAGCTTGTAATCCCAGCACTTTGGAAGGCTGAGGTGAGAGGACTGCCTGAGTCCAGAGGTTAGAGATTAGCCTGGGCAACTTAGTGAGACCTCGTCTCTAACCATAAATAAACAGGATATGGTAGCACGTGCCTGTAGTTCCAGCTACTTGGAAGGCTAAGGCAGAAGGATCGCCTGAGCCCACCAAGTCAAGGCTGTGGTAGCCGTGAGTGTGCCACTGCACTCCAGCCGGGCAACAGTGAGACTCGGATTCAAAATAATAATAATAATAGAAAATAAAGAAAAATTGCTCAAGGTCACAGGACAAAGCGCAAGAATTTGAGCCCAGGCAGTCTGTGCTCCTCACATCAGACATCTAATCAAATGTCTCTCTTCCAGCCTGCCCCAGTATCTCACCTGCTCAGCCCTCTCTATACCTGCAACCCATCAGTCACTGGGACATACATCTCAGCCACTCAGCTGGTTGGGAGGGCTGTGGGGAGGGAGGGGGAGGGGTGCTGCCCTCAGCCTCATCTTCCCCACAGAAGCCTCAGCCAAGCCCCGGGGCCCAGTCGTCCTGCAGCAGCGACCACTCCCCAGCAGGCAGCGCAGCCAACACGGACAGTGGTGTGGAGATGGCCGGCAATGCTGGCGGCAGCACAGAAGACCTGTCCAGCTTGGACGAGGGGCTTTGCGTGGCTGGCACTGGGCTGTCCACGCTTCGCCGCCTGGAGAACCTCAGGCTGGACCAGCTGCATCAACTCCGGCCTTTAGGGACGCGGGGTCTCAAACTACCCAGCCTGTCTCACACCGGTGAGGCCTGGGGGTGGGAGGTGCTGCTGGGCTGAGGTCTGGGCCTGCCCTGAGGTTGGGAAGAGAAAGCCACCGTTCAGAGCAGCCATAGGACACCTTCCTACAATCAGATACAGGTCGGTCCTCATTCCTTTGGCTGGGCGAGGTGGTTCATGCCTCTAATCCCAGCACTTTGCGAGGCTGAGGCCAGAGGACTACCTGAGGCCAGGAGTCTGAGACCAACCTGGGCAACTTGGCGAGATCTCATCTCTATAATAAATCAAAGCCAGGCTCGGTGGCTCAGCCTGTAATCCCGCGCCTTTGGGAGGCTGAGGTGAGTGGATTGCCTGAGCCCACGGGTTCGAGACCCGCCTGGGCAGCGAGACCTCATCTCTACAATAAATCAAAAAATCAACTGGGCTTGGTAGTGCTTGCCTGTAATTCCGGCTACTTGGAAGGCTGAGGCGGAAGGATCGCCAGAGTCCAGCAGGTCGAGGCTGCGGTGGCCGGTAGCGGCCACTGCACCCCAGTCTGGGCGACAGAGTGAGACTCCAACTCAAAAAATAAAATAAAATAAATAAATAAATAAGCCAGGTGTGGTAGTGACTGTAGTTCCAGCTAATTGGAAGGCTGAGGTGAAAGAATCACCTGAGCCCAGCAGGTCGAGGCTGCGGTGGCCATAAGAATGCCACTGCACTCCAGCCTGGGTGACAGAGTGAGACTCCAACTCAAAAAAAAAAAACACAAAAAACAGGTCTCCCTTCCTCCTCAAGACACTTTGCTTCCGTTTGTCGGAAACTTGTTGAGAATACACTATATGCCTATCATGTGAATGCTGTTCCCTAAGACTGTGCAGCATTCAACCTTCATGACTGTTCACAGTGACCCTGAATCCCTGGTGACCAGAAACAGAACAGGCATGGGAGAAGTAGGATACGGAACTGATGGTTAAGGATAAAAGAGCCTGTCCCCGGGACTCCAGGACAAGGCTGTCACATGGGGGAGGCGGGATGAGATTCAGGGCACTCCCTGACCATCCTGCCTTTTCTGTCACTTGCAGGCACCCCTGTGTCCCGTCGCCTGGGCCTCCCTGCCTCTCTGGACCACCGCAGCAGCAGCTCCAGCAGCATCAGCTCTGCCTACACCGTCAGCCGCCGCTCCTCCCTGGCCTCCCCTTTCCCCCCTGGCTCCCCGCCAGAGAACGCGGCATCCTCCCTGCCTGGCCTCATGCCTGCCCAGCACTATTTGCTCCGAGCAAAATATGCTTCAGTCAGAGGTGGTGGGACTCCCCCCACTGTGGCCCCAGGCCTGGATCGGATGGGGGGTTTTCCTGTACCTCCCTGGAGAAGCCGAGCTGAGTATCCAGGGTACAACCCCAATGCAGGGGTCACGCGGAGGGCCAGTGACCCAGCCCGGGCTGCTGATCGCCCGGCCCCAGCCAGAGTCCAGCGGTTCAAGAGCCTGGGCTGTGTCCACAACCCCCCAACCACGGCAGGGGGAGGACGGAACTTCGATCCTCACCTCCCACCCTCTGTCTATTCGCCACAGCCCCCCAGCATCACGGAGAATGTCGCCATGGATACTAGAGGGTTACGGGAGGAGCCAGAGGTTGGGACCTCTGTGATGGACAGTGGTCTGAGCCCCTATATGGACTTCCCACCTTCTGACACTCTGGGATACGGGGGACCCGAGGCGACAGCGGCTGAGCCTTATGGAGCTAGGGGTCCAGGCTCCTTGCCTCTTGGGCCCAGTCCACCCACCAGCTATGGTCCCAACCCCTGTCCCCAGCAAGTCTCATACCCTGGCCCTACCCCAGACACATGGGGAGAGTTCTCATCCCATTCTGGGCTGTATCCAGGCCCCAAGGCTCCAGCTGGAGCCTACAGCCAGTGTCCTCGACTTGAACATTATGGACAAGTGCAGG